GATCCAAACTGGCTTCATCAGACCAGAAAGCTCAGATGAAGAAAGGGATTTTAAAGGAAAAGGATATAAGCTAATAGATCTAAACCAGTTTTCCTCAACTATCTTTATTATTTAAGATGTGGTCCACTTCAATTGTTCTGAATGGTTCTCAGAAAAATGTTTCAACTTTGTTGTACAGTTTCTGTTTGACTGTGTGTATAACACAGTAAGAACATAGTTGTTGATTTATTGCTCGGCAATGTATGTTCTACTCTAAATTACTTTAGTAATTCAATCATTTATTTTTACTTTCTGCTTGTTCTGTATATTTAACGCACAATGATTTTCTTGAGGGAAGTGATTTTCACATGAAAAAGCCAGTTTGAGGGTGTGGTCACCTCAGACAAACAAATAAAGCAGATTGGTCTAGCCATTACACAGAATGTTCTGTCAACCTCAAATCCATCAGATAGTGAGATAAATGTAGCTGTTTACACCATCAAAAAGAATTTGATAGCCATCTTACACCACTCTATCCAAGCTGGAGATTCAGCAAAGCAACACAGATTTTGTCCCCCTGACAAGAACTTCTGGTTTGACTGGCAACAAGAATGTTGACCAACAAAAGGGATGACTGCCTGCCCCAGGTTTTTGTGGAATTGTTGCATTCTGCCCTCACAATGTTAAGTTGCACAGAACTGAAATGAGTGCATCAATTCTCTGGTTTGGATTCAGTGCCCAAAGCATAAATGTCATGATGTGAAAGTAATTCCCTGTGCTGTGGCTTCTGCAGTATTACAATTTTATCATGGGACTATTAATTGCCAAAGAAATCATCAAAGACCACCATATTTTTACTCAAACATTTCAATTTTCATTAGTTTGTACACTTGTAGATTTTTAAAGCATGTTTTAATTTGATATAATTTTATTTGTAATTTAGTCTATACTTTTCTGATAACTATTATAATTAGCTTTTATTATCATTAATTGTAAATTTACTCAAAATAGACTTCTAGGAGAGGAAAAAAGTACTACATGGTTACTGTTTCGATATTTAGTTGATTGTGTCAGAGCTTTCTATTCTGATACTTGGCAATAAATATTAGTTGGTAAAAAGCAAATGGTGACTGCTGTCTTACATCAGTTACTCTGGGAGACTGGAAAGACACAAAGGCAAAGAAGGTTCAAGTTAACCAATGAGCAAAGTATTTCTAATTCAGGCCAAACATGCAGATAAGAAATTAATGCACCCACCCAGTCTCCCTACTTGGAAACTTGAGGCCACTAAGAAGCAAATGGTAGATCATGAAGACATTTAGTTAACACCATAAACTCATCTGAAAGCAGCAATCCCTTCTGCCACACTTACAACTTCATAAATATCTCTGCCTACTGATCCTTTTTATTCTCTACATTCCCCTTTGGGAGAGCCTTCATGTGTATGCTTTAAATGCCATGTTTAATGCCACCACTCAAGCATCAACCAAAGCACAGAACAAAGAAAACTCAAACCTTTCAAATACTGCTCACAAGAATTGACAGATACAAAACCATCTGTGTATGGAAAAAACAATTCCTAGTTTTAACTAGTCATAATTGATTTTCAATGAGTAAATATCAGTTTTACATAAACTAAGTCTTAATAAGTAAATTAGATACCAATAAACAAAACAAATGCAAATTTGGTCATGTGTAATAGTCTTTATGGACCATGCATAATGTTCAATTTTTTCCAAAAATTACTTTAAATTTTGTGCAATTCAGCTTACTAGCTGCAATATGATATTGTGTACATATTTTGCCTGATAAATCCATTAAATTTATCAAATATTTATCCAGCTAAAAATTCTGCCAAAGTTAATCCAACAACAAAGACAAGCCCACTACTTTTGCCCCCCTCAGACCACAAATAGCTTTATACCCAGGCCAATCACAGGGACACCATGAGTGACACACATGCCCCAGCCTTGAAATCAATAATTGAATAATTCTGCTGGAATTTTCAAGATCAAAGTGCCAAATTCATGATGGTATTAAGTAGCTGTGTTTCTGGCCACAGCAGAAAATGCTGAAAGGCTGGGCAAAAACGCTTGTTTAAGTTTTCCAAAAAGGCAAAGAAAGAGAGGGAAAATGCCATAAATTTATCTTGAAGATAAAAATGTCCAGACATTGATTCAAGTGAAATTTAAGGCAGGCTATCCATGACTATGACTATGTTCACAGAGCATTTGTGGTCTTTAAAATATTGCATATTGTGACTTTGAAAGATCATTCATTCAAAAGTTTGTCTTTCCAGCTTGAGGTGTTTGTAATCTTAATTACAAACTCCATTTCCTTTGTTGCCAATTTCTAATACCACAGTCTTTAAAGTGCTGATTTATCTGTTTCAGAAATAGAAGAGGCAGTTTCATCTATAAGATGTCATCTGAAGCACATACTTGAGCAGTTATTTTTAATTCTTGTTTACCCATTTCAAACCATGTGACCACATGGCTAAAAAGGTTTATTTGCTTAGAAAACTCAGAACTCAATGTCTAATTGTTAAACAGGCTATCAAACAACTTCTTTGAAAACCATTGAACTTTAGCACACTAATGTGACCATTGACATCCATTTAGTGTACCTTCAAAGTAGACCTATGACGCACAATAACTGTAACCA